ACAGAGTCTGGAAGCGGCGTTCTGCTCAATGCATCAGCGTGGAGAATTGATTTCCCCGGGCGATGTTGCAAGGTGTAGTTGTAGGCCGCCAAGAATTCAGACCAACGGGTCATTCTGGGGGACAATATATACGGGGTTGGTTTATTACCCGCAATGATTCCCAGTAGCGGTTTATGATCAGTGATTATTGTAAACGCACGGCCATAAACATATTCATGAAATCTTTTAACTGCAGCCACAATAGCTAAAGCTTCTTTGTCCAGCTGACTATAATTTCGTTCAGCTTTAGCTAAGGTCCGCGAAAAAAACGCGATGGGGGCTTCCGCTCCATTTGGTAATACGTGGGCCAGAATTGCCCCAACCCCAAAAGGTGATGCGTCACACGTGATAGTGAGCGGCAGAGTCTCGTTGTACTGCATAAGTACAGAATCAGAAGTTAGCAATTTCTTTACTTGTTGGAAAGCATGTTGTTCCCGTTGTCCCCACACCCATGTTGCTTTTTTGTCTAATAGTCTATGCAACGGTTCAGCTACCGTTGCTTTGTGGGGTAAAAAAACATTATAGAAATTGATAAGTCCAAGGAACGCCTGTAGGTCTGCCTTGTTCCTTGGAGTGGGGGCCTTTTTAATGGCCCGTAATTTGTCTTCGGTGGGATGGATTCCTTGGCTGTCCAGGAGATATCCCAGAAATTCTACTTTTTCGGTACATAACTGGCATTTATCTTTTTTTATTCTGAGGCCTGCATTTTGGAATCTTTGTAAAACCTCTCTGAGTCGTTTTTCTAGAATGTCTTTGTTAGGTGCGGCGATGAGTACATCGTCGAAATATGGGACAACGCCTCTTATCCCTTGTAACAACCTTTCCATTAAACTCTGGAAGATTCCAGGGGCGACGCTTACCCCGAATTGGAGCCGGTTGCATTTAAATGCGCCCCTATGCGTTACGATCATTTGCGCCTTGGCTGTGATTGGATCTACAGGCAATTGTTGATACGCCTGGGCTAGATCTAGTTTGGCGAAAACTTTCCCGCCACCCAGGGAATGGAGCAAGTGTTGCACTACCGGCACTGGATATGCACTTTGCTGCAGTGCGTGGTTTAAGGTGGCCCGGTAGTCTCCACAAATTCTTAGGGACCCATCAGGCTTGATAGGCGTCACTATCGGGGTTTCCCAACGGGCGTGGTCGGTGGGTTCCAGTACGCCCTGCGCTATTAGCTTATCGAGTTGTTCGTCGATTTTAGGCTTCAAGGCGAACGGCACCCGACGCAGCTTAAGGCGGATGGGTGCTATCTCAGGGTTCAAGTTAAACGAGATCGGGGTCCCCTTGTACTTGCCTAGTCCGTTCGCGAAAACGTCTTGGAATTCTTGCACGAGTGCCTCCTCCCAATCGCTGCTCTCGGCCCGGTGGACTCCGGCTACAGTGATTCCGAGCGGTCTGAACCATTGAAGGCCTAAAAGACTAGGCCTGTCGCGGTCCACGACAGTCAGTGGTAGTGCGACGGTGCGGTCTTTGAAAGAAACCTGGAATCTGCGGGACCCGACGACGGGAATTCGGTTACCCTGATAGTCTTTGAGTATAACCCTTTGAGGGTTAAGGTCTTGGCGGCGAATCGTTGGAATGAGCTGTTGGAGCGTTTTCCACGACACCATCGAGAGGGAAGATCCCGAGTCCACCTCCATCACACAAGGTTTGTTTTCGATGGCAACCTTTACTCGGATTTTCCCGGCATCAAGGGATGTAGCGTGGCCTATGGTGATTGTTTGGTGGGTCTCTTCCCGCCGGGTTTCTTCGCGCCTGGTGGAAGTGGTGGACGGTTTGTTTCTGTAGGAGTGGTTTCCCCATTGGTGGTTCAATTTTTCTCGGTGTGTGCCGAAGAATCCTGAAGATTGGCATTCGGCCTGTCGGGGTTTGGAGTTCTGTTTGCTTCTGCAAACCTTTGCGATGTGACCTCGTCTCCCGCAATTGCGGCAGAGTGCGTCGAGGAATTTGCAGCCGGATCGTGGGTGATTGGCTCCACAGCCGGCACACGGTCGAAAGGAGTGTTGTGTGGACTGGTCTCGCTCCGTTCGAAGTCGGTTGACCTCTTCCTCATCGCTGTCGGACGGGGACTCTAGGTCTTCGTGGTGAGTTGATACCGGGTGTCTCTCTGAGCGAGGCGAGGTATCAGTGGCGAGTTTACGTAGCGGTGCGTTGGTGCGGCGCATTCTTCTTGGTCGCCTCCGCTGCAGAGGCTTCTTTAAGGGCATCGGTGAGGCTGATGTCCCCCTTAGCCATGATTTTGCTCTGGATCGTGCCATCTTCTAGACCCAGAACCAGGCGGTCCCGGAGGGCTTCTTCTAAGTCTGCGAATCCGCAGAGGCCTCCAAGATTGCGGAGGTCCGCGATGTAATTGGCAAGGCTTTCGCCTTTCCGTTGATCCCTCTGGTAATATTCGTGTCTTCTGACTAAGGTTGGCACGGTGGGCGCGTAGTGAGCCTGTAGTAAAGGCTCGAGGACGTCCCAGTCCATCTCTTTTACCTCTGCTGGCTTGGCAAGTGACTTTGCCATTTTAAACACGGTAGGCCCGCAGTGAGTTAGAAAGATAGCTCTTTTTTTGCCGGTTGTTGCATCTTTCAAATTGTTGGTCTCCAGAAACATCTGGAACCGATCCATGTATGCCTCCCAGTCTTCGGTTTCTGGGTTGAATGGAGCGGGTGGTACGGCACCGCTGGCCATGTTGCCGTTGATGGTGCGTGTTCGACCACGTGCTCTGTTGGTTGCTCTGTAGGTTAGTCAGCTCTTCGGTCTCCGAATCCCATCCTCGTCGCCAGTGTTAAGTATGGAGAATAATGGAGACCAGACATCTGACCAGTGACTTCAACTCTTTAATAACAGTAAATAGAACAGAACAGAGCAAGGCTATGGGCAGCAGTAACCCTTTTATAGGGTTAGCTGCTACCTTGTTAACCAATGAGATGAGCAACAAGTTCAAACTAATAACCAATAAGAATAGTCCAAATAGTGGCCAATCAGGGGCTAGTTCTGGCCCAATCCAAGTTGTTGTATAAGGACCAATCAAGTGTGCAGGTTTTCAAACCCTGATTTGCATTTAAGTTATTAACTTTTATTGATTCACAACAAGTCTAATTTCTGCAAGGATGATGTTCCAGAGAGAGAGAGAGCTACTACAGAGAAGGCCCTTCTTCTAGGTCCCGCCAGATGTATCTCCTTGGGGGATGGGACCTGCAATATTCCTTGCCTCCCCACTCTGGTAGGTCAGGTAGATGTGACCAGCAAGAAATTATCAATCAATAAGCAAAAGATAAAAAGGAATATGTTGTCCAGGACAAATAGATGGTCTATGAGATTCTAGAGAGGCAAAATAATGGCCACCATCCACTCTCCAGAGAAACAGCAGATTCTATGTGCTAATGAATATTCTCACCAAGAGGCTACATGTAGACTTTAATTAGCAATGGGAAGAGTGCCGAACCCCAAGAACCCTATAAAACAGAATCTTGGAGCTGGATGTACCCCTTCTCAAGCATCTGGAGTCAGCCTAAGATTAAAAAGAAGAACTAACATAAAACAATCTCTCATTCTTATCCTCTTAAGCCAAAAAAGGAAGAGACCACTTTGACACCTTCAGATCAAGGAGGACCAGCACAGGTACACCACTTTATACCAAACCTACCAAAACACAATCAAAGTCATCTCAGGGCTATATCCCAGCCTAAAAGCTGGCTGTGTGTGTATATATACCTCTTACAACTATTTGTTTAGCAACTATATGAAGTTACAATGGCACTAAAAAAAGTGATTTACAACTGGTCCTCGCACGTAAGACTGTTGTAGCATCCCCTTGGTCACATGATCAAAATTCAGGCACTTGGCAACCAGTAAGTATTTACGATGGTGGCAGAATCATGTAATCACTATTGGCAACTCTTCCAGCCAGCTCCCATCGAGCAATCGACGGGGATTCACCTAACAACTATGTGATTCGCTTAACAGTTGCAGTTATTCAACAATTGTGGCAAAGAAGATAGTAAAATCAAGTACAACTCAGTGAATTATTACCTTGCTTAACAATGTCTTTGGAGATTCTCAGTCATCTAGGTCATGGTTGTCCCAAAGGTGCTTTTTTCAAGAGGCAACTGGATTACTTAACAATGGAAATTCTGGTTTCAGTTATGGCCATTGGTTAAGGACTACACTAACATATGAGTTCATTTAGCCTGTTTTAATCTGTTTTAATCAATGAATACTGTCCCAACAATATTAAGAGTAAGAAAGTAGGGCTTCCAATCAAGAATTACAGCCAAATTCACCCACAGTCCATTGTCTGTATCTGAATTCCAGATGCATAAACCAAGTTCACATATGCTAAACTGTGGTTTACTTAATTTATTGAATATTTAATCATTTATTCATTTGATATGTATCCCATCTTTCCTTCACTTACTCTCTTCTTCACTTAAACTCTCACAACAACAGCCCTCAGAAGTAGGTAATAAAGTCACCCCATAAATTTCTGTAGCTGAATGTGAAAATATGGAGTTGAAACTGGATCTCCTTTAATCAAAGGATTGGAGTAAAAGGTAGAGTAAGTTGGAGTTGGAAAAACTGAAGTACTGCAAGGGAGATTTGGAAACACTATTATAATAAAATTAATCCAGATAATAAGGGAGTTTGGAATTTCTGGATAAGTAACAGATCTTTTATCAGTATAAATTCTCTTTCAAAAAGAAGTGCTTGATGCATCAATTGAAGTATAGGTCAGAAGACACTGTATTTCTTCTCTTAATTTTGGCCTCTTTGGCCTTCATGTGGGCACAGCTATCATTGCATTGCACAACTAATTGTTCATACATAAAGAGGAATAGAAACAACTTTGCTAGCTAAATCACTTGCTGAAATGGAATCCCAAATGTAAACAAGGGACAAGGTGACTACACAATACTGTACTTTTTGTACTATGAAAATGTTTCATGTTTATGTCTTTTTATTTTCTTTCCAAGGCTCTACCCCTTTGATGCATGCCATTTCAGGGCGCCAACTTGATACAGTGAAATTATTGCTAAAGATGGGAGCCAATATTAACACTCAAGATGCCCGAGGGCGAACTAGTTTATCTTTGGCAACGTATCTGGTACAGAATTTCCTTGTCTTACACATTGTTTTGGGGAAGTGTTGAGCTGAAATAGAGAAATGAATATTCTTTATTAGAGCCAGTAGTTAGGCCTAACAAAAGAAGTCACTGGTTAAATGAAACCTAGAAAATCTTGCTCAATTTTATCTCAGTTGTATGTATGTATGTATGTAATGTGTGTATGTATATATATGTGTGTATATATGTATGTGTGTGCAGGGGTGGGATCCGACAGGGTTAACTACTGCAGGGGTGGGTTTCTACTGGTTCTGTCCACCTCTGTAGAACCGGTTGCTCCGAAGAGCAGCAGACATAGAACCAGTTCTATGTCTGCTGCTGTTGTGGCCCACTCACCCGCCGGGGCTTTTACCTGATCTTTATTTCCTGCTTTTTCAACTGTAGCTGCTTTGCGCGACACAGCTGCAGTTGAAAAAGCAGGGAAAAGGGGCTTTTCAAACTGCTGTGCACTTGCATGCAGCACTGCTCAGCTGTCCAGGCAGCTCAGCAGGTTGTAAATTGCACTCGTGCGACTCGCGCAACTCGCGCATGCACACGTGACGCTAATAGACAGAACTGGTAGTTATACCAGTCGGATCCCATCCCTGAACTACCGGTTCAGTGATTTACTATGTGCTTCCCTGCACGCTGCACGCACACATGTAAATCTTCATCAGCTTGCTGCCTGGACAGCTGAGCAGCGCTGCGTGCAGGGAAGCAATGTTTGAAAAAGCACTTTTTTCCTGCTTTTTCAACCGCAGCTGTGCCTCGCAAGGCAGCTGCAGTTGAAAAAGCAGGAAATAAAGGTCAGGTAAGAGCCCAGGCAGGTGGGTGGGCCAAAACAGCAGCAGACATAGAACCGGTTCGGTGTCTGCTGCTCTTCAGAGCTACTGGTTCTACAGAGCCAGATAGAACCAGTAGAATGCCAGCCCTGTACGTGTGTGCATATAAATATATATATAATGTGTATGTATGTATGTATATGGGTACATATATATTTTCTTTTGAGAGTGGGCAACAAAATTTCATTTTTAGTGTGTTTAGTTAGTGTGTTCACAGTAAAAAATGAAAATAAAGATTATCATCCTTTTTAAAAAAATATAAACCACATATTATTTTTGAAGTAAAATATTTATTTTGTCCAATAAAGACAACCCTATATTTAGTTTAATTGCCTCTTCTATGAGAGAAAATGAGAGAGAGAAACAGAGAGATATATGTTCAAGTTTCTCAAAATATGTATAATGTATTATTTTAGTGATGGAGCTTCATGGAAGTATACTCCTTTACTTTCTCTTGGGTGGAGTGCAGAAGTAATTCAGATAATTTATACCCACACTCTATTGTGAACAGCACTGGCTACCTATAGACTGAAATGTCTAAAACTATTCTCTCAATACTCCAGTGCCCCCAAAATATTCTTCTGTAGACCAGTTAAATAAATCTACATGGAAAGCAAGGAAGAAGGCCACCCCCAACTTACTGCAATAGCTCTGGTCAGTCAGATTGAATAGGGTTTATTTTTAATCCTACAGTAAAAACAACTATGAACAAAATATGAGAAGGATCAGCCAGTCAGTCACTACAATGGTATTTAAGGTATCAGACTATGATGACAACTGTCCAGTAAACAGGATATGGCCTTGGTTTGTGGGGTTATCTAACAATAGACAACACATTGGTTAACTTGCTCTGTGTGGTACCAATTGGCCGTGGGGTAGCAGGAATGTGCCCATTAATTTGGGGGAAAAGGAAATTCAATGCAGAATCTTTACTCAGTCCCCAAGATTTTCTGAGTAAATGAAACTTTGTTCTATTTTCAGGGATGGCTTGAGGGTTGTGTTAGCCTGCTAAGAAATGGAGCCAGACAGAACATTCCAGATAAAAATGGAAGATTACCCCTACATGCTGCCACTGCTGACCCCAATGTCAGGTATCCTTCTTGAAGTTACTCAGAGATAAAACTTTTGATAGCGTTCCCTAATAATTTTAGTTTTTGTATTGCATGAGTAACATCACCTCCCCTATGCAATCAGTAGAGTAAGATGAGAATTCCATTAGATTCTATTCAATCAAAATGTTAGTCATTATGCTTTTCTATTAGCCTTAAACATCCTGTGCTATCAGCTAAATGGATAAAGAATTGCAGAATTTCATAGCTATCATGCTATTAATGTACTAGGGGCACGGGTGTCAAACTTGCGGCCCGGATGCGCCACACACTTGCCACGCCCACCCCTGGTTTAGGAAAGGGGGGAAAATTGTGATATGTCACGTGATGACGTGATGTCACGAATTTCACACTCGTGTACTAGGGTTTGGAGCAATAGATCTCAGGCATTTACCCTCCCTTGCTTTTTGTTCAGAGAAATCTGTCAGACTGTTACTCAGGATATGGCCAAAAGACATCCATGTGTAACCTCCATTTTATTTCAACTGTTATTGCAATGTGTGCAACCAACATCAACATACTGCCTACCTGCACAAGACGGTTCTTGGAAAAATACAAATACAAATACACTTTAAAGGCCTTATTTTCTCCAGTTAAAGAATTATGTGAGAGAGGATCAAAAAGTACTGCCCCCATTAAATATAAACTATTTTTCAGCACTGCCACAGAAGTGATTATATAACTTTATAGTTCTGTTTTTAAAGGGTTGTCTTATCCAAGCTTAATTTAGAAATACTTTTTTAAAAAGAAGTTTTAATACACCCGTATGGCTAGCAACTTTACCACCAACCATCAGCAAATTTCTGCAAAAGTTTGCAATTATCCTAACTACAACTATGAACCTATCACTTGATGAATGAGAGAGACCATAGAAAGAAACTTTATCAATGCCAATTAGCTGGGACAAGGACAGCTATAAGCTATAAGTAGGAAAGGAATTAAACAGTATTAACCAGATAAAAAAACTTGGTATCATCCAGATCTTTTGGACCTGAACTCTCTTCTGCTCCAGCCAGCATGATTAAGAGCAAAAGATGTAGAAGTTACTGACCAATATGTTCCATTTGCCTGGTATTAATCATTTAATTCTATGCACATTATGACTTAAATTTAATCTGTACACTTATATTTTACATACATACTGTATACATCAAATTTTGAGAGATATGCCAAAAATAAGAATTTAGAAGAAACATTTTATAAAAGATAGATGATAGATGAATTGATGAAAATTACATGTGCGGCCATGCATGACGCTTAATTCACTGTTTGCACCTACATCTCAGTTTTTCTTATTGTCATCGACATTTTGTTAATTTCCTGTCATTTCCATTTTTCTTTCTGTATCAGTTGAACAGTATGCTTTGAAGTTTTCAACACAATGACAATAACACTATTATTAAATAAAAAGTCCACAGAAAATGAGCCAGTGATATTTGGAAAAGAAATCGTAATTTGCTTTAACAGCAGAATACTAGGATCCCTGCAAAATAAAATTTCTACAATCCCCATGGTAACAGGTAAAACTTTGGTCAGAACAGAAGTAGGCCAGCTGCTCACTTTATTTTCTAGCAACCCAAGTCAACAAAATTAGTACTTCTGAATCGGATCACTCTCTTACTGGAAGGTACTGTTGAAGTGCCACCTTACCTCAACCTATATATTTGTTTTTCTCTTTGATCTTTGCTCAACCTGACCATTACAAATTAAGTACAACAGGAAACCTCACTGCAGAAGGCAATAACAAGAACAGTATACCAGTGATAACACTGATGAGGTGATTGATAGTAATCATAATACCAATAACATTTTTTTTAAATCAGCCCTAAAACATCCAGATTAAATACCAAGAAACACTGACCTTTGACGTTAATGCTGCAACTGAAGTAAATATTTTTATTTATATTTACTTTGTAATGCTTATTTTTTATATATATAATCATAGAGATCCATAAAGAAGATAAAAAAATGTATAACTTGCATTAGAAATCTTATTTGGCCTCCCTCAGTTTCTGTAAATTAAAGCAGACTTAAGGCAGGAGGTTTTATTTTTACTCGCGTCTTAAAGGAATGCTATTTATTTATTTAATTTATATAGCTGCCTATCTCATTTATGTGATTGTGAGCAACTAACAGTTAAGAACAGTTTGAACAATGCTAGCATTTTCTTTGCAGATGGTTGATTGTACTATTGATAAAAACTCATGTGCAGAAAGAGAAAGTTTGAGGTTGGTCAACAATTATAAGAATCTAAAACTTCTAGATTTACAGCTTCTTGAGGAGGCCGTGCACAACCACTGTCTTCAAGGAAGGCAGTTGTAGTCTTTCTCTCCACAGTCACCTTCCTGTCACGTTCATAATTCAGAGGGACAGAGATTCAAATTACAGGTGATACAGACAATGTCTAAGGGAACTCTTGTCCACTTCTTTTGGACTCATAGATTTCCACTTACCTCAGATAACCTAGCAAGATATGATCTTAGTCACCGCCTCAAGACATGATCACCGAGTTCATTTAAGTCTGAACAGATCTGTGCAGTTTTAATAGATGCTCATACACACACAGAAATACATGAACACACAAATACCGGTACTTGTATAATTCAGCATATTGTAGATACCTAATATAGTGAATGTAAGCCATGAAAACTCATACAATAAAGTGTTTGCTTTTAGGCTAGTAAAAAATAAATGAAGGAAAGCTTGTAATGGAACTATTCCTTGAAATCTTATGTAAGTTCAGATATCTTGCTTTTTTTAAAAAAATATTCTTATCATCTATGTGGTCTCATTGATTCTAGAAATGTAAGTGGCAAAAAAAGGATCAAAATAAAACTATTTAAATGCCATTGAATTTTGTTTTAAGATTCAGGATCCAATCTGGGTCAGTCACTAGGACCAAAGTTTTTGGACATTTGCTGGACCCCATCCTCAGGGAACTTTTGTTTATGATGTATTGGCTTATAATGTATTACACAGGTAATCTTTGATATAGGATCACAATTGGGATCGTAATATCTGTTGCTATGCAATGCAGTCGTTAAGTGAAATGCACCCAATTTTACATTTTTTACTATGGTTAATAACTCAGACCGTTGTTAAGTGAATCACAGGATATTTGAGTGAATCCAGACTGGAGTGAATTGAGTTAGCTTATTGGAAGCTCCCTGGGAAGCTGTAAATGGCAATCACATAACCTTAGGATATTGCAGATGTCATAATACATATCACCCACATTTTGATCAATGATTGTGAGTAACTGTGACGATTGTTAAGTGTGAAGACAGTTTGCAAATTACTTTTTTCAGCACCATTGTAACTTTGTTGGTAGTAATTCAAGGACTACCTGTAATGCACTGAATATAATTTTGTTGTCCATAGGCTTTTATCTGTCTTGCTTCAGCAGTCAGATCTAAGTGAAATTAATCATCAGGATAATGAGGTAAGCAATCAAATCTCCACCCAAATATATTCCATAATGTAGAATTAGAATATATTTTAAAATGTGGTCTCTGAGACAGTGATTCATGCTAAAAGATCTAAAATCAACTCATACTATTTAGCGTTCTGGTGAGTATTATTTTCTGTGCCGAAATCAGAGGTGGTATTCAGCAGGTTCTGACCAGTTCTGGAGAACCGGTAGCAGAAATTTTCAGCAATTCGGAATACCACCTCTCACTGGCCCCGCCCCCATCTATTCTCTGCCTCCCAAATCCCAGCTGATCGGCTAGGTCTTCTTTTGTTGCCCTGCATAGGAGAATGCACCTGAAAAGCAGGTTAATGGGGAAGGGAGAGAATGGAGATTTTGCAGTATCCTTCTCCTGCCATGCCCAAGCTACGCCCACCAAGCCACACCACGCCCACCAAGCACGGTAGTAAAAAAAATTGAATCCCACCACTGACTGAAATGCATTGTGAAGGCAAAAAAACGAGTAACCTGCCCTGTTTGCAATGTGCCTTTCAGTTCCTCCTAAGCAGAATTTGACAGGTAATGAATGATAGCAAAAGAAATGGAGCAGTGGGAGAGATGGAAGAAAGAGCAACTCTTTAGATTATGCATCTTTTTCTAGAAAATAGAGTCTTCTGACTGCAGTTGCTAAAAACTGATAGGCCTTTCCTACCATTTTTAAGCAGGAAATATGGAAACTAGTGTGAAAACTATAATGTGCTGAAGTTAGCATAACTACAGAAAGTATGAGAAAGTCTACTTGTGCATATTTTTATCCTTACCTCACTAGAGCTATTTAAAAGAATAGAAAAATGGAACAATTTTTCACAAAGTAGCTTCTAATATATGCTAAGGCATCTTAGTCTTATTAGGATATATCTATTTTATTCTAGAGAAGAAAAACTCTTTTTCTTTATGACCAATTAGAAATGGTGGAAAATATTTGTAGCTTGGGTGATAGATGTTGGTAGTGGTTTGTTCTCTGAGCTTGTTCAGTTTCGAACATTTCGTCACCAAGCTAGATAACATCATCAGTAGAACTTTGGTTGAAGTGTATTGTTTCAGTTATATTTTGCTTTTATAGTCTTATGTGATCAGTTGGTTATGTGACCAACTGGTCATGTGATGTGAGAATCATCTGGTGGTGAGGTCACCCTGGCTGGAGGTCATTGTGAGTCGGCTGGTAGTCGATGCCATCGTCAGTTGGTCACTTAATTTATGACCAATTCTACCTCCCAGATCAGGTTTCTCACCCGTAGCAGCTTAAAGATATGTGGACTTCAGCTGCCATAATTCCCCAGCCAGCTATGTTGGCTTGGGAATTCCCAGGAGTTCAAATCCACATATCTTCAAGATTGAAATACTGGTCTACAAAAAGGATATGTTAATTAAAGCTCCAATGATTTTGTTGTGATTTTCAGGGAATGACACCACTTCATTGGGCTGCATTCCACAATCAGCCTCAGCATGTTCAGACATTGTTGCACAAAGGATCAGATCCAACTTTGGTGGACAAAGATTTTAAAACAGTCTTTCACTGGGCAGTTCAGGTAAGGAATAATTGCTAACCACGTAGTGCCTCTTTTGTCTCCATATTGCATCTTGAAAGGGGAACGAAAAAGAACTATAATCCTACTCACAGCAGAATCTGAAACCTGACCAAATCTATGGGAGGAATATATGCAATGACTAATCCAGCTGTGTCTCATACCCCTCACACTGAGAATGGCACCGTAGAGTACAGTAGAAAACCAAGAAATGTAAATAAGATCAGTTATATCCATATCCTCAAAGATAACTTTAGCATGCAAAAAAGGTGATTTACCTTTTGTAAAAAAATTGCTTTACTATAAGGCTGTTTAAATTCAAGAAATGTAAAAATGCTGGCTTCTGGTTACAAGAAAAGGAACCTAAACATAGCTTTACCACTATAGATGAGATCCAAATTGCAACCATGATCTTGGGTAAGGCTGAAGTTATATTACCGCATGGTGTTGTCAGGCAAATGTTAGCACACTAGGGCTCCAGATGGCCTAAGGAAGCTAACAAAAACACTAACCTCCCTTTCTCTCTTTTTAAAAATGTTATTAATAAATTAGGATCCAGCACTAGAAAAAGAAATGTCTGATGCCATTGCCATCTCTAAAATTCTTAGCCAATTTTCAAGGTAATATTCCCCTGGTATTATATCAGGGCCCAAAGGCATTTTTAGAAAAATAGTGTAGTTGCAATTGAAGTCTCATTTAAATTAAAAAAATTATTGAGCTGGTTAAAAACCAAGAACTTGATGAGCAATAATTCAATTTGGATAACCCTAACAGAATATTTGTAAGTAAAGCAATATGTGTACAGGAGGTCAAAAATGCTTAAAGATCTAGAATTTGTTCTTAGCAATGTTGATAATAACATATTCTCTATGTGCATAATTGGTTTTCAGAGTGGAAACCGGATCCTCTGTTCTATTATCCTGAACCACCATCAAGGCCCATCAATAATAAACTACGATGATGAGAATGGGAAGACTTGCATTCATGTTGCAGCTGCGGCTGGATACAGTGATGTTATTAGTGAGCTGGCTAAAATCCCAGAATGCAACCTGCAGGCGCTGGATGTGGATGACAGGTGGCCATGGAAACAAAGAGAAGAGCTGTCTGTGGCTTTGCTTGCCTAACCCATAGTTGAAAGAGGGTTGACTGCTTTTGAATGCAACAGGGGTCCTAATGAAAGAGTTTCTGCTTGGTCTTTTCTTTGTTAAACAGCAACTAGTCAGTGGGACCTCTAGTCTGTCTTCAGCTAAATAGTCACATGTTTTTAATGAATGCACATATTATACATGACATATTAAGTCAGATAAAGCAGGAGGCTTATCTTGCAATCCAGGGATTGCAGGGAAGGGGAAGGACTTATAAACGTGGTCTAAAACATGGTGAGCAACTGGCAGCCCCTTTCCAATAACCTGTTAAGTTCAAACATTGAAAGTTTTCCTTTCCTGCATCCTGTTGGTTGTCAGAAAACATACAACAGAAAAGTAATGTGAAAAAGAGAACAAATGAGCCTGTTAGAAAGAAAGGGTTATCTCCATCAAATTTTCATTCTAGTCCTATTGTGGGTGTTAGCTTTACCTTTTGTGGAATCTTTTTCCCCAAGGAAAAGAGGTCCTTGATAGGAAAAATGCTGAAAAGAAGGGCATCTATCTAGGTGATCTTCAGTTCCAGCATTTTTATTTTAGAAATTCACTCTTGTTATCAGTTGAAGGATTGCAGTAGTAAAACAGTGAATGTTATTTCTGTGTTTTTAAGTGAAAAAAAATCACAGAAAAACAATTTGGGATTTTTGTATATGTATATAAGAGGAAGTCAAATACTTGTAACATCACAATGTAGGATGATTTTTTTATTTTTTTATTTTCAAAATAATAAAGTTCAGATAAGTAGTATGAATTATCTGGAAACAGAGAAGCTAAGTTACTGTAGGTCTGACCATTCACTTGGATAGAAAATACTGCAAGCCCCAAATAGTTTATGATACAGTAAAGGAAATACTTTTATTTCAAATTAATCAGATGTAGAATTTACAGTCAGTTCACACTGGGAATTCAAAGTTCAAATATTGGCATATGTGGCAAAGTAGTAATACTAATACAAAATCCTACTGACCAGTTCCAAATTATATCAGAATGGGAAGCCTCCCAACATAAGTTGTATTAAACTTGAGGTTTCAAAGAATGCTTAATTTAATTCTTTTGGATCGGAACAACTAGATGGAAGCTATCAGAGAAAAACAATGAGGCAACTCACATGCAATTGTTAACAAGATTTTGACCTCACTGCTCCCAAGAAAACTTGTTTTATGGGTTGTGGTAAGCTGTATTGTTGCTATTTGTCTCTGGCATGCTTGTGCATTGAAAGGAACTGATATCTTGCTCCAAGATCAAACTTTGGAAGAATTTAATCATCTCAACTGATTAACTTAACACTTATCTAAGGTTATGTAAATATATGAAAGACCTCTACAGATCTTTTTTGTCAGCTGTCAGAAATTCCATATAGTAACTAATATGGCAGAACGGAAGAGTTAAATCCCATGTAGGAGCCAGGTCTGATAAGGGCTAATATTAATCCCCTTGAATTTTACATGGTCAATTAACCCTCTTTAAAAATTCTCATGTCATGGTAACTTCCATTCATACTATGAAAACAATACCAATTGTCTTATCTAAATCTGAATTTTAAACTGCCCACTACTGTATGGATGTTTCTTTACTTATTTTTTTTCCATTAGGACACCTTTGCATTGGGCTGCAGCCGCAGGAAAAACTGACTGTGTTAAGACTCTGCTACAGCTGGGAGTGGAAAGCAGCCCTAGAGATATCAATGAGAATACACCCCTGTCATATGCCATCTATTGTGGACATACAGCATGCATTGCGCTACTCTCTCAAGCAAACAGGTAGAGTCTTTCTCTTATAATAAACCAGATTTGAATTTTTCAACTAACTATAGAGGCGGAACGGACTCTAAAGGTCTTCTAGTCCAACCCCCTGCTCAAGCAGGAGACCCTATACCAGGGGTATCAAACTCATGTCATCATGGCTACATCATGTGATGTATCGGGACTTTTTTCCCCTTTGCTAAAATGGGTGTGGCCGTGGCCAGCATGCCACATGACGCATACGGCCCATGGGCCAGGAGTTTGACAGCCCTGCACTATATTTATTTATTTATTTATTTATTTATTTTGTCAAATGCTTACAATATAATATAAATAAAAATAAACATAAGTTTAAATATAAGAAATAGGAACTAATAATTGGGGACAATAGGACAGGGACGGTAGGCACGATTGTACATGCCCCTTACAGACCTCTTAGGAATGGGGTGAGGTCAATAGAGGTTAGTTTGAGGGAAAAGGAAATATATTTTCAGACAGTCTCTCCTTAAAAATTTCCGGTGATGAAGCACGCACTTCTGGAAGCAAATTGTTCCACTGGTTAATTGTTCTCACTGTTAGAAAGTTACTCCTTAATTCCAGGTTGCTTCTCTCCTTGATTAGTTTCTATCCATTGTTTCTTGTCTTGGTGCTTTGGAAAATAAGTTGACACCCTCTTCTTTGTGGGGAATACTGGAATATTGCTATCATGTCACCCTTAGTTCTTCTTTTCTCTAGACTAGCCATACCCAAATCCTGCAATTCTTTTCATATTCATATTGCTGAATATGAGAATATTGCTGAGTATCAATATATTCATACTTCTGAGTATGATCATTCTTCAGTTGATCAGATGACTGATTATGTTTTCGTTGGGGACCACTGCAAGTTACCATGCATTGTAATATCTATACATATTAAATGTTTTCCTATTTCTCTATTCAAAGGCTATATCTTAATTCATCATGGCAATACCAAAATATTTTACTGCCTGGCCCAAATGAATTTTCTTTCAGAAGGAAAATTCTGTAACTCATGAACAGAACTTCCAGTTATCATGTCTTGAGAAGAGGTTCTGTTAAGTACTTTGTGCAGAAACTATACATCCTTTTTTAAATACTACCTTCCTTGGTTTGCTTCTTCTATTCTGTATTCCGCTGTTGATACCACCACTTTTTACAGAGTTGAGTTTCAAGGTATAATATAGCAGAGGTATCCAAACTTATTCAGGCCAGGCAACCTGTTAGTTTAAAAAAAAATGAAAAGCTTTAGTGCTAAAATAATTGCTGTTCCCTGTATTGTTGTACTATCAATGACTCTTACTAGGAATATGAAACTGGCATCAGGTGGTCATTATATTTCATAGCTGTTTACTGCACATTTTAAATTGGGTATATAATTCATATATACTAAATATAATAAATTGCAGTTTAGAAGACAACACTTTTTAAAGAATTAAAAGCACTTTAATATATCAGTACTTGCTGATATATATACATGCGCACAAACGTATAACCATTTTTCTTCCTTGTAGTACCTGATCAAATAGATTTATCAGCTTTTAGCAAGGCTTCAAATGATTTGCAAAATTTATTTAACTGGCAATTGAATGGCACAGCTAGAAAACAATATCTACCTTTATGCTCTATCAGAACTAGTTCTCTGTAACACTATGATGTCCATGTTAGCAAATGTTCAGATTTAATTGGCTAAACATAATGAAATTAATAACTCACTTTATAATGGACTAGAAATATGTTTTAGATTAAATTTACCACAATAACATGATTGTTCTATGAAAAGTCAATGCACTTCAGAGGTGGCATTCAGCAGGTTCTGAGCAGTTCTGGAGAACCGGTAGTGGAAATTTTGAGTAGTTCAGAGGACCGGCAAATACCACCTCTGACTGGAGATTTTATAGTATCCTTCCCCTGCCATGCCCACCAAATCACACCCAAAGAACCGGTAGTAAAAAAAATTGAATCCCACCACTGATGCACTTGTTATATACTCTGGTCATTTTGTGCAAATGAAAATAAGCAGTCTAATTTGGATATACAGTCATCTGGGGGTGGGGGGGGAAATGCATTCGTTTTCTCTAATTTTCTGAATGTTAAATGTGTCTTCCCCCAGTTAATAAGTACAATTAGCATTATTTTCTGGGTTGTTAAATTCAACAGTGGAAATACCTATTTACCTATTTATTTTATTTGTATCCCATCTTTATTATTTTTACAAATAACTCAAGGCAGAGAATATATTCAACGTACCTTCCTCCTCTTATTTAAGCCATTTTCCAAAAAATACTGCACAGGGTCAACAGTGTGGATTAAATGTTGGATTGTTCATGTTCACCTTCACCCATGGGAACTCACAGAATGACTTTAGAACAGCTGTTTTCTCTCACCTCAACTTACATTAAAAATTGTTGTGGGAAAAAATGGAGGAAACACTGTTATATTTATGATACCTTCAGCTTATGGTGAAAAGGCACAATATAAATTAATTAGTTAATTAAATTAGCTAAAATACATTACTTAGAATGAGGTTACTTTTTAAAAAAAGATCCCTTGCAAGCATTATATGAATACTATGCAGAATCATATTTTTGCTATGTTGGTGGAGTTTTATGTTCATCTGGTAACACCTTAGCTATTGAGTCAAACTTATGGAAAACTTATTTGCCCACATTTTATGAACATTAGATGAACGAAATTTGCCTCTGATTTTGTTACTGCTTTTGATGATCTCTCCTTTTTCCTGATAATGTCTTTTAAAATATATTATTTCTACAAGTTATTTTATACTTTGTAAAGTGCTTCAAGATGCTTTTGTCATGTTCAGGGATGTGTTGCTGGGGGTTCATGTGGGTTCATGAGAACCCCTAGCTAAAATTCTGCACAAAAAGAACCCCCAAATCCCACTCCTGGCTTGCCCCACCCATCTCAACCCACCCCTTCCATCCCACCCCGCCCCTTCCAGGAGTCCCCATGCAGCCCATTTTGGATGCAGGTAAGTGCAGGGGGCATGCAAAGGCTCAGGGAGGGTGAAAAACAGGCCTCCCAGAAGTTCGGGAAGGCCGGAAACGGGCCCATTTCCAGTTTCCAGAGCCCGCGGAGGCCATTTTCACCCTTCCAGAGGCTCGAGGAAAGCCTCTGGAGCCCAGGGAAAGCAAAAATGCCCCCCTCACCGCCATGGTACAGGCCGACTAGGCCACATCCACCATGGCCACGCCCACCCAGCAACCGGGCAGAGAACGCTTTGCTAAAATGTTTAAATCCCACCCCTGCCAATGTTGATACAATTTGCTTTTCTTTTTTTAAAGACCTGAGCTACTTCATCACATTTCTTCCCAGAACAATAAATTATCAAAGAAGGAAGGGAGATTCAGCATGCTTAACCAAATCTTCTCATCTAAAAAGAAAAAAGGGGATTGGAAAGTCAGTTTGAAGGAAAAGAGTACAGACAGATCCCAGAAAGAAGAGACCTCAGAAGTAGATGAGATTATCACCACATTTGATTGCATAATAGATTCCAGCTTTGATGGCTCATCCAAAGAGTATATGAAAACCACTGACCTTAAGAAAAGAAATGTAGACCTTAAGAAGTACCTCATTTCAGAAAACAAGACACCAGATTGCAATGGCTTTCCACCAATCAGAACACAAAGTCTCCCACCCATAACTGTGAGTAATTCTTTTTTAACAACTTCTCCCACTACGATCTCCAACATGAATATGGATAATGATTTTGCAACTTGGTCTCAAAAAAGCAGAAGTGAACATGATTTGTCAAGTCAAAGAACCAGTCGACAAGCTTCGGACAGCCCTTGGAAAATGGACAAAAACCAAACACCCAGATATAGATTCTGGACAACTGTGTCTTCCGATAATAAACTGATAGATGGATTGTTCCCAAACAGATCCCATCATGTGGTATGTCCTCCACATCTTCCCCATCTGACTAATTTATCACCAGGTAATTTTTTTGTTTTTTATTTTCTGTTTATTTAGTGTGAGCTAAAGGAATTCTAGATATGCTGAAAATAATTGAATCATAATAGCAGTTTCCAGATTGAAATATCCCAATCTTCTATGCTGAAGAGTGGTTCTTCTCTTAAGAAATAAGAATAAACTCAGCTTCCAAAGTAGGGTTTTTTTCCAGGCAACTATCAACTGTCATCTCTTTTAGTCCTTAAAAGCACATATACCTGTCCACACAATGCACTGCCACCAAGAAACCATGGTTTATTTAATAACCATCGTTATATTGGTTTATAAATTATAAATTTGTAAGGAACAAGTTGAACTACAGAACACATTGAACTACATAAATTACAGTATAAGTTAGTAGTATATATGAATTAGCCATCTCTTTAATGCTCTCAGAGTAGATTAAAATGAGAACAGGTTGGTTTCACACAAAATTCAGATAAACTCATTTATGGGCAAACTTTTCCTACTGCATTTACAGAACTGGACTAACTTTAGATTATTATAAAGATAATTCTTCTTAATTATTATAAAGACAGTTCATTTAGAGACCATTCAAAGTTACAACACTGAAAAAAGTGACATGACCATTTTTCACATTTATGACTGTTACAGCATCCCCATGGTCACATGATCAAAATTCAGACACTTAGCGACTGGTTCATTTTTATGGTGGTTGCAGTGGCTGGGGTCACGTGATCAACTTTTGCAACCTTCTGACAAGTAAAGTCAATAGGGAATCCAGATTCACTTAACAACCATGTTACTAACTTAACAAATGCAATGATTCACTTAACAACAGTGGCAAAAATAATAAAATGGACAAAACTCACTTCACAAATGTTTCACTTAGCAACATAAATTTTGGGCCCAATTGTGGTCATAAGGAGTACCTGTAATTTCAAGATAAAACAATTTTCTCAGATTTTTAATATTTTTTGTTGTACAGTAACTTTGATTATTTTGTTGTCCATACTGATTCTTTAGAAGTACAGCATGTATTATTGAGCTTAATTTAAAACCAAAACCAAAACCATCTTGGTAATTTCAGCTTCTGAAACCAGCCCTGTATTTTACTGTTCCAAGAATTAAATGCAGGATTAAATAAACCTTTGCAACTGCTAGGAAAGTAATGTTTTGTACCAGCCTCTATTAAGTATATATTCTTCATGTAGCAGCGTGATCTTATTTTGCCCTAATCATATATTCTGTGGAAGTAGAGAATGAATACAAATTATCCAATCTATTCTCAGTCCCATTCATATATTGTTTTCTGTGTCTTTTCAAAGGAAACTTGTTTAATTGTGTGTGTGTATAATACTTACTTCCTTTTCCTTTTCTAGAGAAAAACTTTCAGCATACCACTTTAGAACTTCCCAGAGTAAAAGACCTAACAGCTATAAGGAACAACCTGGCCCCCATAGTAAAACATGGTGATCAAAAAGGTAAGAACGGTGGTACAAGATCTTTTCTTTTTAAGTCTTCTAAGTTTTCCCTTAATGCAGAAAATATAGGATATAGACAATACAAAATATTGTACCTGTATTTTTTTACTATTAAAAATGGTCTAAGACAGGACAAGTCTTCTGCATTTATCACTTGCAGTAACTGACCATCTCAAGTCTATCATTACGTACTTTCAAGAGGAACCAAAGTGCAGGGTACAACGATTTCGCATACCACATGTGCAGCAAATTATTATTATTGATTCAGTCACTTCTGACTCTGCGGAATCCAATCTGGGTTGGTCTAATACTTCTGATTCTGACCCAGTCACTTCACCAAGACTGTCTTCTGGTATTTTGTTTTTAAAAATCTTGTACAGTAATCTTATGCTTATGTCTTTACTGATAAAATGTAGTTACTTTGACTCTTGTCAGCCTCTTTTTCAATTATTTGTTCTTGGATTTGTTCAAGGTGTAGTCAACAATTTTATCCATTACCTGCCCTTTCTTTTTCATTTACATCATTTGTATCAGCTACCAATAGCTTATCATTCATACAAGGGCAATGAAAGCTCTGCAGAGACTGTTGCAATATACAGTATGTCCTTTGTGCATATTTTACAACTGTGGCTGTAAAATTATTTCTCTTCTCCCCCGATTCAAATAATATTGTTAGTGCCTTGCCCCCACCCACAAAAAAATAATTCTGTTGTTTTCTGGTAAGAAAAATAAGAACTACTACAAGCAAATCTCATAGTAGCACAGGTACTTACAATTGAGCCTAACATTTCTGTTGCTCAGTGACACAGTTATTAAGTCAATTTGCCCCATTTTGCAACCTGTTGTGTCACAATTGTTAAGTGAATCATTGCAGTTGTTACATTAGTAACATGGTTAAGTGAATCTGACTTTCCCATTGACTTTACTTGTCAGAAAGTCACAAAAAGTGATCACATGACCCCAGGACACTGCAACCATCATAATAAATATGAGTCAATTGCCAAGCATCTGCATTTTGATTATATGATCTCATAAGTCACATTTCCAATGCTGTTGTAACTTTAAATGATCAGTAAACAAACTATTGTAAGTCGAGGACTATCTGTATGTAATATGCAGTATTTTTACAGATAAAAATATGGGAACCCATTAACTAATAAGGGGGTGGGTTTCTTTAGTTACCTTAGAGCAGAAGTGTCATGCAGGGGCTTTAATTTGTTGGTTGGATTTGGTGGCCTAAATAGGTTTCTCCGACTATGAGTCTGTGTTGCAGGTGATGTAGCTAAGATTGTGAGTCTGTGTTGCAGGTGATGCAGCTAAGATTGTTACATGCATTTAGTACAAAATTTACCTTTTTCTCGACTTCAACATTATTCCCTTCGTTTTACACAGTCTGTATTATCTACTATTTGTTTCTGATGTCTCTCTTTGCACTTTCTTTCAGGCCAGCTATCAAGCAACCATGCTCCTCAAGGTGCCAGAGAGATGAATTTACTGTCTCTAAATTCCCTGAGAACTGAGACATCTGTTTTGCCACCAATGTTTGCTACCAAGTCCACAAAAGGAGGACATTCCCAGATTTACTTTCCATTCTCATTCTTATCACTGCAATCAACTGAGCCTCTGGGAACCAGCAAAGTCCTCCCAGCCATTCCAAGCCAGAAAGAATCCAGCTACACGAGTGAAATGCTCGATCAATCACATTGTGACTCATTCAGTGACTATTAGTGCAGAAGCCCCACGTGGTGGAAACGTGAATAAAAAGCACTAAAAATACTAAATGTTTGCTTTCTAATCCACTGCTGAAGGGCTAGGAAACTGATATTTTAAAAAGCAGATATTTATTACTGCCATTTTTTGACCCATTTAATTTTATCCTGTATTGGGAACATGCTAGCACTATGCAAATAAATGGAGAAACAAAGAAAAGGAAATGCAACTTAATTTTGCTACCTAAATTTTGCTCTAACTGCAAAGTAATCAAACAATACAAGTCTGACAAAGCACAAAAAGTTTCTAAATATGATATTCCTGTATATCTGGCCTTTTATCTCTAAAGTGTTGTTTGAATTCAGTAGAAGTTAAACTTTATTTTCTTTTCATTACAACCTGAGGAAATAAGTGCTGGCACATAATGAGAATGAATATTACTGTATTCTCAATTCCAAATAAGCGCCAATTTCAACGTGACTTGATGTTTTAATTCATCTGCTTAGAACTATTGGCTATTGTGGCAGCCATGAGTTGAAAACATAGATGACATGGAAACAAATAACAGCATTCTTCTTCCAATAACTTTAATTGCAAAGAAATAAAATGCAGAAATCAACAAATGCATGTATCTACCCATTTAGGGATTTTCCATATCATCATTTTAAGGAACATCAGCTACATATGTATTTTATACACCATTATTCAACTTATAAAAACGTAAGTCTTGTCAACAGACTTTCAACTGAAAATAGATCTGATGATCAAAGAATGTGAGAAAAAAAATCTGTGCATAAAACAGTTTTAGTTTTCAGGGCTCTTAAAAAACTAGATTCATTCAGGTCTGGATCAAATCTGGATACAATTAGTTCCTCTTTTTTCCAACCTTCTGTTATTTTTGTCAGTTTCCCATTTTTTAAGGAAGTATGTATAAAAATCAGCACATAATAGTCACAATAGGGCTGGCCCTGCTTCAGTCTTAAATTATCTGCCATCCCAGACTTGTTGACTTCAAGTTGATGGGTTTTATTATCAGTTCCTGCCATGACTCGCAAAAAGCTTCAGCTTCTAACAGCATTTAGACTTATATACTGCTTCATAGTGCTTTACACTCTCTAAGCGTGTTGCCCCCAACAATATCGGTCCTCTTTTTACCAACCTCAGAAGGATAGAAGGTTGAGTCAACCTTGAGCCAGTCAGGATCAAACTACTGGCAGTGAGCAGAGTTAACTTGCTACACTACATTATAATCACTGTGCCACTACAGCACCTAATCACTTTCAGAAATTGGTTGCTAACTACTTTTCAGTTACTAGAAAAGTTTGAATTGATACATTTTATAGTACAAGATGAGTTTCTTTCAATCCTTAGTAAAAAAAAGTTTTAAATATAAGTTTCAGGACTTAAAATAAATTCTGAAATAAACAGCAAAAGGGTCATTAGAATTTTAATTTTAGAGCTTTATAAATGGACTAAGGTGCCAATAAATTTGAAATAGGGTTTTGCAATATAATCTTTCCTATGAGAAAATCTTTGTTTTTAATTCTTTCCCAAAAAATCATCATAAGGTAAGACTTTAAAAATTAGACACTAGAAAGAACTAGAAGGAACTAAAGATTACAGTTAAAGGATAACATTCACACTTTCTAATACAGAATGAACCAAAATGTTAACACTGGATATATTGAAGGATATTTTTGAACAACTCACCCAGAAGTTAATTTAACAGTGTCTGCTTCTACAGTCTGTTTAAAAGATGCTATGGAAGAGGAACAAGTATGATATAACATGACTGAGACTGATTTGAAAGTGGATTTAATAATGAAAGGCTATAAGAATCACATGGAAAAAGATCTTAGACAGGACATATAAAAGAATCCCGCTGATGTCTTAATAATTACAGGTATATATAAATAATAAGCCAAAAGATTGACCAGGATAATTTTCCTACTTATATCTCTGTAATAAATATAGTATGTGTAATTTATGGAAGCCTATATATATAAAATCACCAGTTTCATTTAGTGGTTAAGGCATGGTTAAAAACCTAAAAACTGTCAGTTCTAATCCCATTTTTGGCACAAAGTCAGCTGGATGACTTTGAGCCAGTCACTCTCTCTTAGTTCTAGGAGGGAGACAATGGTAATCCACTTCTGAAAAAACCATTGCCAAGAAAATTGCAAATGCAATTGTCAACCTTATCAGGTCAACCAGATAGAAAACACAGCTAGATAAACTAATTTTATTTTATTGTAAAGCTACATTAACAGAATCTTGCAAGTCTGAAAGTACAAGCCTCCTGCCGCCACATTTATCTGCTTCATCTCAACCTCTCGTTTGATTGTTCCTAGGCAGCATTTCTTCCCCTCAGCCTCCAAGGTCATCTACACATACTATTACAGTATATTAGTCCAGAAAAAAAGGCGTCAACGCTGATTTAAAAGCTGTTTCCCCCTCCACCCCCCCAAAACCATATATAT